CGGAAGTAAGGTAGTTGACGAGCCGAGGAGGGGCGCCCCAAGTAGGGCCGGGGAAGGCAAGGAAAGCCTGCCCGGCACCGGACAGGCAAGGGGCGAGTCCTGCAGTAAGGTAGGCAACCGTAAGACAGGGCCAGAGAAAAGGATGCGCAGAGAGAGGGGGCGCGCACCGGGTAGGCAGAAGACACAGTCGGATGAGGAGGATTCGCATAGACGAGGCGTAACAACGGCGAAGGAGGTCGCCGCTTCTGTGGAGAAGCAGAGGCTGGGTGGAGGCGAAGGTGAATGGCAAAGTAGCGACGAGCGAAGTTACCTGTGGCACGAGCCGAACTAGAGGCAACGCGGCGGAGTCTTGGGAACGAGGTAGAGAATATGAATGGTAGGTAAGAGAGTCGGCATGAGGCTGGAGGCTTACGTTTTCTGCTGTCGATGACTGCATTAGGTTATTTTCGTACTCTCTACTCGATTGCCGTGCGAGCGGCCCACCCGCCCTCCCACTAACAGCCAAATGGCTGATCGGAATTGTCTTTGAAGGGTTTGGGTACCGCGGGAGTGTGGTCGCAGACGCAATGGCCTTCCCCACAATAAGTTAGTAGTGAGTACGGATCACGCGATGACGTTTAAGCAATGTTGCTGTTGCTGTTGCTGTTGCTGTACGCACTCTCCGTACTCCGTGCGGCTGTACTGCTCTAATCGCACAGTTATGGATCTTGTTTCAGGTGAGGAACATTCGCGAGACTCTGCAGGAGCTATGCTCCCAGGAGGAGCACCGTATGGCCAGTGTGGTTGTGGCCCTGCAGGTAGGAGGGAGGAGGCAGGTGGAGGGGCTTTCCTAGACTAGGGAGGTTTTGTGTCGAACGGCGTCTTTGCAGGCTTTCCTGCCTGTTGCCCTGCTGTCGGTCTGTCTGTCCGTTTCGTTGTCTGTTCGTCTGCCTGTATGATGTGTGGGACAAGGGGGCATATCTTCACCCTGCGGCCGCTACCCGGCAGACCCTGCCTTCCCCGGTATTTCGGAGCACCCTCATCTAGTCACCCTAGCCAACTTCTCAGTGGATCGCTCAGATTCAGCACCCACCACCGGCATCCAACGGAATCTGCCGGATCAACGGCGGCTCACGTCCCCTTCCCCCCAAACACACCCACACCCGCACGCCATCCCCGCGAAGCTTGAGCCTCAAAGTCATCCCTCCGCTCCCCTCCACCACACCGCAGGAGATCTCCACTTCCACGGCAGTCCCCTTCCTGGCCCGTTACATGACTGAGATGGACTCCAGGGAGGGGGGCTCTGGACGTGTGTGGCACTGCCTGACGTCCAGGTGATGCAGGGAGGGGGAGGCGCAGGTGCTGGCTGACAGTGGGCAGCCTATACCTCTTAACATACACATACACACACGCTCTTTTGGCACGCATGCGCTATTTTTCTATCTCCCTCCTCTCGCCTTTCTGAATTCTGCTGGTCTGTTGATGATCAACCCTCTCCTCTTTCCCCCCTTACCCCCCTCCCTCCCTCCCTCCCTACCTACCCCCTCCCTTACCCCCCTCCGTCCCTCCCTCCCTACCCCTCCCTACCCCCGCACCCAAAGGCCAGTCGGCAACAACTTGGAGAAGTCAGCATTCCTGTGGTCCAGGTCCCCGCACGAGGCCCCCCTTCACTCGGGTCAGGTCCCCAGCTTCCAGTTGCTGTCGGAGGAGGACCTCCAAAGGGTGAGGGGGAGGGGAGTGGATCTAAGACCTGCGGGCCCTGCAGGTGTAACCGCCTGCCTGCACTGACCCTATCCTGACTTGTCGGACGACAACGAGGTGCACGGTATCCGTCTCTGCTCCCCTCGCCCCTTTTCCCCGCCTTCCGTCCCTCCTCCTTCCCTACCCGTAATGGAGACTGGCGGTGATTTGGTCATAGGCAGTTGTTCCTTTGTGGCCCTAGCTGCATGCAATCCCGCATCCCTGCTTTCGACCTTCCACCTGCTCCCCAACAGGTGATCCGACCACCCGAGAATCAACAGATGCAGCAGCAACAGGGTCAGGGACAGCCAGGAGGAGGGGGAGGGGGCGGGGGGGTCTCCGGGAATATCGCCTTCCGACGGAGCCCCTTCTTCGGACTATTCCGGTGGGTAGGGGTTAGGGTAGGGGTTAGGTAGGGGTTAGGGTAGGGGATAGGGTAGGGTAGGGGGTAGGGTAGAGGGTAGGGTAGGGGGTAGGGTAGGGGGTAGGTAGCGGGTAGGTAGGGGGTAGGGTAGGGTAGGGGGTAGGCGGTAGCGAATGACCCCCCGCACAGTAGCTGGATTCCTCCGTACGTTCGGGCCTTATATTCGCCGGCGTCATTCCTGTTGTTGTTTGTTTACCGCTGTCGTCGTTTCTTTTTCTGTTGCTGCCACCGTTGCCCCAGGGTGGGATATGCCAACGTGCTGCTCGTCAACGTACACCTGGCGGCGAAGGAGACTGAAGCCAGTGAGTTTTTCAGCAACACCGTACGGCAGTACGGCAACCTCCCCCCCACGCATTGTGTGTTGGGGGGGAGAATTATGAAAGGGTGTAGTCTGAGGCCCCTCCTCACAAAAAGTATCTTTAGGTGTTTGCTGCGCCTTGTACGGCACCTGTGTACGGCGGCTGAGTGCATGCCGAGCGTCATAATCTGATATACAAACTGGATCCGGCTCCGTTGCTCATTGATTAGGTGATTAGGTGATGAAGCAAGGAAGTGTCTTGGGCGCACCAGCACAACCAACCATGAGACCAGGATGGGCAACTCGAGATCATGACCTAAACCAATTTCCTCACGGCGAACCCATAAGGCCCCTCACCTGGCGTGTGTCGTATGTCGTACAGGATCCGAGTTGGAGGCCCTGCACCTGGTGGCCACCGCCATTCGGGAGCCCAACAGCCACCTCTTCCACCGCCACTGCCTGGGAGGTCTCTTTCGGAGCCGCAAGCCGCGCGGGCTGCTGGCGGTGCTGGGGGACTTCAATTGCCCCATGAGAATGTCGGGGGCGGCTGGGCCCGCCTCCGGCCAGGTAAACGAAAACAGTTGGCAGAGGTTCCTGCGCAACGGCTGGTTCGACGCGCTGATTACCGGAAATAACCCCCTCAGCGATAACCTCCATGGCGGCGCAGCGCCGCGCCCTACTTTGCATACCAACTGGCACGCCCAAGAACTAAGAGCGTTCGACGCCATTTGTTTGCCGCTGACCCACGCGGGCCTCGTGCAAGAGCGAGGGGTGTGCCGGCCGCCGGAGCCGCAGCCGCAGACGTCGGATTACCCCAACCACCTGCTATGTTGGGTGCGGTTGGATTTGGGGCCACTCCAGGAGGCGCCGGGGAAGCTGCGGCCACTGGTGACGCCGCGGCTGCAGCTCGCTGGGGAGGGGGGTGTTGCGGCGGCGGCGGGGGGAGGCGGCTGAAGGGGCGTTTGTTGCTGCCGGCGTCGGAGCAGTTGTTGTGGGACAGTGAGCGGAAGTCTTAGTGTCGCAGTTTGTGGTGTAGGGTGGCGTGCAGCGCAGTGCAGTGCGCAGCAGCAAGTGAAGGGGGGGGGAGGAGAGGGGGTATAAACAAGCAAAGAGGGAAGGAAGCGTACGTACATACGTACATACGTACGGGAGACGTACCTGAGGATCATTACGTGTCCATAGAAGTACCATATATGAGGAAAGGGGTCGCACATGGCGACATGGGCCACAACGCGAGAAGCAACGGAACGCGACACGTAACGGGTTTCTGTGATCCCTCCAGTTCGAGCCGCCGTGTGGTCAACCGTGTGTAGGTGTGTTTGAGGCGGGACGGAGTCGCTGTGCTGGGTTTGTTTGGAGTGCAGGCAATGGAGGGCCGCCTAGCACGAAGGGGGAGTGAGCTTAACACGTTGATACGTGCGGCGGTCCATCGCCCGCGGGGTGGCGCTTCGGTTGCTCACGTGCTGAGTTGCCGTGCTTTTCCTTTTGGGGGGCCTGCAAGGGAGGAGCGCCTGTGTCTTGTGGTGCTGCGGGTGATACCATCCTGTGTTGGAATGGCGGCTGTGCTCCGGGTCCTGTATGAATATGTATGTATGTATGTATTGATATAAATATGTTACAGTGCCTAAGCTTTTGTACGGACCCTTACATCACACCTGCTGTCCCTGCCTTATCGTACGGGGCGGAGGTGTGGGGCCCCGACCTTATTAACGTGAGTTTTGAACGCGCTATGACTAACCCTGTGGTCGAGGAACTGCGTGTGCATTCATGCGATTTGTGGTAGGTGCACGACATCCCGCCATGACTTGTCTCTACCGTGATAAGCTATGTCAGTGAGGCCACTGCCGTCCGATTGGGCCAACCCTGTTCTTAGGTTTCGGAGCTCCGTGGTGAGAGACCCGGCGGGACAATAATGTGCTAAAACCCTATAGCTGACCCGGGGGTGTGTTTCCCACCGGAGTCACTGCATTGAGGCATATGCCGGTCTCTGAACTTGACGGGGGCATCTCCATCTCCATCTCTTAGTAGGAAGGGAGCACGGCTGGTGCAGATCGCTCGCCCACACCGGGGCTGTATCGCCATTGCACCAGGTGCTCATGCGTTTCAGATAGTAATGAGGTTGTTGGGAACTGGAAGCTAACTAACAGGCCTAATGGCCCCGTGGCTGCGTGTCGCGAGTACCTGCAGGCTTTGTGACTGCGGAGCGGTCGAGGACGAGCTGCTGTGTATCTTTTGTGAATGCCCAGCCTTTACATGCGGCCCTTCGTCACTAGCTGTTACCTTAGTAATAACATGGTATGAGTTAAATATGAGGGGGGAATTAGCTTTCGAGGGCGCCAAATGCCGTACTATTGTGGCGGAACCCCCCTTTAGCTGTGTGGCTAGTTTTTCTTTCGGAGGTCTGGGAGACCAACAGGCACATCACGCTCAGGCGTGCCGAGCCCATCAGGCGAGCAGGAGAGAACTCTAACCATCCTCACCTGATGCCACTTAGTAAGGGCTTTTTACCGTTCATGGCCGCCCCGGACGGGCCCCGCGCTTTTGTAGGACTGTGGAGCGCGTTGGGAGCTGCTGGCTGCCGCATGCATGAAGCGAATTCATAGGGCACCTGACAAGGCCACCCTTGTACATGCACGACCTGTGAGCATTTATACTCTAGCCGGTGACGCGCGACGTGTCGAGGACTACCCGCAATAATTTGGATGGAGGATACGATGACATGACGTGTCCAATCCCGTTATCCCGTTTCTTATTGTACCGTTGAAGCAGGTATAAGGTGCACATTGGCGTTTTGCTCTGCTAACCACCTCATAAACCCGACCAACATAATCACCAAACCAAGAATGCATGATGTAATAATTGTTTGTTGCAGCTAGGAGCCGACGGCTTTGTGTCGATAATGGCGTCGATATTCTCGCGCTGGAAGCACTAATCCACTGCCCACCCATGTGCCATGACCAATCCCCTGTGTAGATTACGCCATCGCCATCTTGCTAAGCGCCACGTCATGTAATCCGCTGTGTGTACTTGAGAGCCTCATGAGAGGCCTCTCAGGCATGGAACAATATCATGACATCGCGTGTTAAAAGAACTTTGAAAGTCTGAAACGTTTGCGCGTCCAGCTGCCGAACAGGCAAAAACGGGTCCCGACGATGCCTGACAGCGTCTCTCTTCTCCGCTTTCACGTCGGAGGCACAACGCAAGGTCCAACAAGATGCGGTGGTGTGTCGAGGCAAACTATCCACCACCACAAACGAAGTAACAAGCCAGGCGGGCTCCTGCAACACTGAACCCCCACCCCACACAATTACTGAAGGGAGCTCCGGAAGGGGAGGTTTTGCTGTCGTGTGGTGCAGTTCTTCCTCCCCTTCTTCCTTCCTTCCTGCTCGCACACCCTCCTAACAGATAGATTAGGGTTTGTCATTACCACCACTTCCCCCCACGTCTCCGTGCGTACACTCCTTAACGCCCAGCTCGCCCCGCGGCTCTGCCGTCACGACAGGGGTGTGGGCTAGGTCGCCTGCCTCATATGCACATACATACAGGGGTCCAATTCCTCACTCGTACGGTTGTATTGTCTTGTAATCTGGGTCTAGCCATCTGGGTCATACCCTAAGAACGAAGAGGTCAAGATTATTTTGGGGTTGCCACAGTTTGACATGTGAAGCGAAAAGACCAGAGTGTGTGTGTGTGAGTGTTTCTGTGTCAATAATATGTAATGTGCGACACTTTACCCGCAATCCGCTACCCGGTTGCTGGAATCTGAGGATCTCCACAGAGCTGCATGCGCGTCAAACGGTTCACGCGAATAACAGCGCTCGCGGAGGCAAACGGACAGAGAACGCGCGCCAGCACCCTCGCGATGCAGCAGCAACAGTCGTGGCTGTAATGATGGCAACCCCGTGGCGGCAATTCAACAGTCGCGCATTTCCATTCCTCCTCCGTAACACAGGTCGCACAAAACCCGCGAGGCACAAAACCCGGTCAAAGTAAACATGCACAGGTCTGCAAGGATTTGCATCATTCGTTGGATATTCCCCTCCCCCATTAACACAGTGCCCTTACGTACACAACCCTGCATTCCCAGACAGAGTGCCATCAGTCCCACCCCTGACGCCAACACCCCAACGCCCCTCGCACAAACTCAGCTAGGGCTAACACATACCCCCCTTTACCCGGCCGAAGGCAATCAGCATCCTGCTCGCATGCCAGCCAGTAGGACACATCCAGTTCCTTCCCACCACCGCCACCACCACCGCAAGATTGTACAACGCACAAGCGCAACGAAGCTGCGATGGTCGTACCCGGTACGCACTAGGCCAGCGCAACTCGGTTCGAATATCGCCGAAAGTGCAGGCGGCGATATGCCGCCTATTTTACTCCTTCTTCTTGGCCGGTGGGCGATAGACGCCGACGACCATCGCGTGGTCGCGCTCGTAGGGCTCGAGGGTGACTTGCTCCTTTGGTTTGAGCTGCATTTCTTGAAGCTTCTTGACCTCGCGCGCGAAGACGGCCTCCGGCGGCGCCGTCGAGTCGATGCAGCTCGCTTTGATGGAGATGACGAAGTTGCCACCGTTTTTCAGAAAGTACTGAGCGTTGTGGCCCACAATGCGTGCCTGGTCTGGCTGGGCAACGTCCGCGAAAATCACATCGACCATCGGCACGAGCATCCGGTACTTTTGCGGGTGGCGTGCATCCTCGATGATCGGGATAACGTTGGGACGTTGCTTTGCCATATTGACCAAGTCTCGGCCGCTGCGGTGCGAAAACTCGACTGCGTAAACCGCGCCTTCAGGGCCGACAAGGTCCGAGCAATGCGAGACGCTAGTGCCGGAAGCCGCACCCAAATATAGAAGCTTGCTGCCAGGCTTGACATAAATGTTGTCAACGCCGGCAAGGATGGATGCAGCCAGCTTTGAGCGGAACGGGTTCCAAACGCGATACTCAATCTTGTCGCCCTCGTCCTCAACTGCAATCCGCTTCTCGCCATAAACACTAACACCAGGGACAAGGTTTTTGGTTACAAGGGCATCCTCCTTGCCGCGAGCAATGAAGACGCCATCGTGTCGGTGAGCCTCGATGACAGCCTTCGAGCCGCCCTTCATGCCACCGCGGCCACCTCCACGACCTCCACCACGACCACCTCGCTTCGCAACGCCACCGCGCGCCCCAAAGCCACCACCGCGACCACCACCTCGGCCACCACGGCCGCCGCCAGGGGCGCCGCCGCGACCTCCACCGCGGCCACCGCCGCGGCCACCTCCACGGCCGAAACCACCACCACGGCCGCCGCGGTCGCCAAAGCCCATGGTGTCAATGAAAGAACAAGTAAAGAGTGTTTTAAAGTTGCGTTTATACCAAGCTCAATTGCTATCCGATATATCACACGTAAACAAGAAAATTTACAACAAGAACAAAAGGAAATCTGCCAAGTAATTGACACTGCCAAAGTAAAATGGGAATTCTCAGCATACGGCGTACGGCAGCTTCGTTAGTGCGAGTGGAGAGGGCTTGCCATTTTCATAAGGATTGCCTTAATTTGACGATAATTGTATAAGACGTTGTCAGATGGTACAGCTTGGAAACTGCCTACGCCACAAAGCAACGCGCTAACGACTCCCTTCCGAGTGCAAAGGCAGCGCAACCAACAAATGCTTTGTACAAACTGGGAGCTCCTAAGACAAAAACGTGACCAATACTGGTTACCCACGTTGTTGATGAATTTCGGTCGGCAGCAGTTGTGCCCGGCGTGGGAGGAGTGTCAATCAAAGAACTTGAGGCAATCGCGACAGGCCCAGGCTGTAAGATAATTACACTGCATGAGATGCAACTCTGGCTAGCTTGGATGTATGCGGGACGTTCACTTTCCTCTGTCAACCTTCTCCCGCTACCCGCTCGACACAGTTTTGACCTCCCGGCGTAGAGTATGTAAACCGCGAGGGGTTTCCTTCCGTTCTCACTCTCATAACGGCCCCCCAACCATGCTTCTGCAACCGAGTCTGAAACGCGTCCATCCAGGAGCTGCATGAAGCTGCATGGAGGAAATCAGGCTGCCTGAGAAGGATATCCAATAATTGCGATGACACTGCACTGTCGTACAAAGCGGTGATCCTGGGCTTGCTGTTAGATCACCTCCGTAGCCATTGGAGGGTTTGGGCTCCTCCCTATTAAGGAGCGCGTCTGCGCTCGTCATGCCTGTTTGGCAATTTAAGGGATACTCGATATGTGTGGGACGTTAAGACACTTCTCCACTTTGGACGCAAATTCTTCTCGCGACCATGTGTCATGTTCACCTGGCGGCCTATGTTCACCCGCTTTGATTGCTTACTGTTAGGGGAGACATGCGCCAGGGCACTTAGGTTTACAATCCTTGGAAGGCCAGTATCGGGAGATTACCCGGCGTTGACACGCCTCGATACAGCGTTGACCTGCCGACCTCAACCTGTTCTTGTAGATACACAACATTTAGCCCCAGGAGCGTTGTGGCGTTATCACATCCCGCTTTGGGAAAACCCCTTGTAATTGGACGGGCAAGGTGATCCGTCGGAAGGGGGAACTTTCAGGACATCCGAAATGCGCGTGGATTTCATACTGCGAGGGTTGCGGTGCGCTGCTTTGTTGCTTTGCCGACGGTGTAGAATCTTTTTGTGCCCTCATCGGTTTGCAGAACCTTACTTAGGTCCAACACATCCCATGTACAAATCAGCTCCGTACAGTTGTTGTACGTGGACACGTCCCCGCTTCATTACAGTCGGGAGGGTGGCAGTGTTCCGCATATCACAGCATACCAACCGCATGGCGCCCTAATTGGCTATCGCGGCGCAGATCGCTATGAATGAATGAGGGGGACCACGGTATGCGTCAGCCGGAGGAAGCAAATGGAAACGTATTGTTCAGAGGTTGGGTTTAAAAATTGTTCAAGTGGTGGTTAACTTCCTTCTCGTCTAACTGTTAGAACTGCGTCATTACTGTTGGGGCTCCATCCTTGCAATACCTTGATGTCAAACACGAGGAGTGCATTGCGGAGGTGATTTATGTCGTACTTTCCTCAGACAACCTGGCCAGTATTATATTGGACTTTCGTAGGACATTGTCGTGCATGTGGCGTCTTCGATGGGACAATGAGCATAAGGAAGCCCTTTGGAAGCTCCAGCGCTTGATGGCTTTCCTGCTTTTCCTAGGCATAGAGCGCAGTGTCAGAGAGGGAACCCTGCTGTGAAGTGCCCGTATGGCATGCGCATGGTTAGTGGGGATTGAAGACATCACTTTTGGAACCGTTGCTCTGGGCCTTCGCGAGGCCTTGCAGCACAAAATGATATTGCAGAACCCTGTTACCCCGTACCATATGTGGCTGAGCAATCCGCCACTCGCTGTTCGAAGGTGTGTGCGGGCGGGTGTGGGAGGGTGTCTGCCTTGCGGATATTGCAGCCTGGGACTACCCACCGAAAAAATGTGCACGCTAACTGCTCTTTCCTACCAATCAACCATGCGAACAAATTTGTGTTTCAGTCACCGGCTACTGATGACGATGGATGATCTGTTACGGTTCCGTCCTTTTTTTTGCATTGGAGCATACTAGCTGAGGCGTTATGACCTGTGAATATGTGCGGCCTGGCCGAATTCTAGTTGAGTCAGTGCTGTGCAGGAGGCGTTCCTTGGAGCGTTCCACTCGACCTGTTCGGGTCCGCTGTAAGCACCGCAAACTGCACAGCGCGTGGCCATACTCGGGGTGCCCATTCCGCCTCGCGTGCCATCCCGACGTTTGCTGTACATGCAGCGTACGATACACCCGATGCACTAAACATTTCCTTTCCCTTCCGCTCCTCAACTTTCCAACGCTTACACGAAATGCCTTACAACACCCAAGCCTTCCTCACTTTATACCGACCAACTAAACCTTCGCCCCACAAGTCCCCACCATCGGACAGGAACCACACTTCTGCTCATCCTTCACAGCACACGGGGAGTCCGTAATGGACTCACCAGTTCCCTAAAGAGCTTCCGTTTCCCTTCCCCTTCCTCCTCTTTCCTAGACACGGCTCCAACGGATGCAAAACAGAGCATAGCTCCCCTGCAGCCATGCAAGATCCCGGTGACCACCACCATCACCAGCTTGGGATCCTCGGGAAAATTGAGAACCCGAATCACACTCAGCACATCTCGTTTCTCTGGCTCCCCTCCCCCCCCCCTTCCCCCCCCCGCCCTCCAAAAGGCCATCCAGTCAATAACAGTCACGCTCGGAGTCACCAGGAACGACAATGGGACCATGACCTGTTGTATGTCATTCTGCAATCAGGTCCGATCCGATTCCCCCAAGCTTTACCCACCCATTACCCACACACCGCAAGCCACGGAACAGCGTGGTAGCGGTTGCGCAGCTCCCAGGGCCCTTGTGGACGAACACCTCTAGCTGCGCACATGCAGAGCTAATCACTGAATTACGCTCTGTGTGTCCCTCACCCGCTTGGCGCAGTCCACCTCCGCTTTCCATTGCTTAGCTTTGCGGTTGGGCGGGTGGCTGGGGTGTAATACGGAAAGGAAACCAGCGCTCCACCGCCACTTCACAATCGCGAACAGGGTTTGATCTGAGAAGCACGTAGTTCAACACAGCACGCACAGCTCCGTGCAGCGACGATTCACCACAACGACGATAACAAGGCGAGTGCCCATGCCGTCCTCTCCTGTCCCCACCGAAACGCCCTCCCCTCCAGCACAACACGACACACGGCACGGCACAGAGCATCATCATGGCACATCATGCCAAAGCAGGTCAGCCGTTGCTGCTGCTGCTGTTCCTCTTTCATCTTGTTGTCGTGCGACTTGTTCTTATTTTGATGTTCATGTTTAGTCATTCCGCTTATGGTTATATTATATAACGGCAAGTCACGGGACGATGATGATGACACTGATGGTGGTGGTGGTAATGGTGGTCTTCACTGCATGCCCAGCCGCAAAGTCACCGCCCGCCGGTGAGCCTCCAACCCCTCCACCTCAGCCATCTTGGCGACGCTGGGCCCGAGGTTCGCAAGACCCTCGTACGACAAGTTCTACAGAGGCAGAGAGAGGTTGGGGTTCAAGTAGGGTGGACGGGTGCTGAGGAAGGGACGGGGACAAACGGGGGCGTTGGCATCCGGAGCGATGGTCCCCGCACCCCGCGGACAAAAAATAATAAAAAAATATTCCCTTGCAGCATCAAGCAGCCGCGATCTTAAACCAAATTATTTTGACGCTTATTATAAAAATAAGGTTAAGAGAAACGCCAGATTACGTCGATGCCAGAACGGTATACCAAGGTTATAATATATATGCGCTTGGGTGGGGCCGCGGAGAGAAGAGGCAGCAGCGCCTTGTGAGATGGTGACTGGTTGACTTCTTGTGCACAAAAGGAGAGGAAGGCGTGTTGCGTGCTCCGCCCACCCTAACCCCCCCCCTCACCTGCACCGTCATCTTCTTCTGGAACGAGTCCAACGACACACCGCTGTACATGCGCGCGTATCCGTACGTCGGCAGCACGTGGTTGGTTCCGGAGGCGTAGTCACCCACGGACTCTGGCGTCCAGCGGCCCAGGAAAACCGAGCCTGCATTATCCAGTCCCGGCAGCCAGTCCTCCGCGTCCTCCACATTCACAATGAGGTGCTCCGGGGCGTACATGTTGGAGAACCGAATGGCCTCGTCCCGGGAACATACCTGGAGGAACGGGAGTGGACCGGGGTCGGGGAGAGCACCGGTGTGTATGCTGTATGCGTGCGAATAATGTGTGTATGGGGGGTTGTACAATGCGAGAAGATGCAGAGGGTCGACTGCTGACGTGTCCAAAAAGGGGGAGGGTATGAAGGTAAGGACGGACGAAGGACCGAAATGTCCGGGGGGGGGGGGAAAGGGGAGTCCTCCCAGTCCCCGAATCCCCGAGCCCCGAATCCCTCCCCCCAGAACCCCCGGGGCTCCCTCCCTCCTCACCGTTACGGCATAGCTGTGGCTGAGGGCCTTACGTGCCGTATCGTTACGTGGCAGGGCGGAGCACTGGCGGTCCACCTCGGCAGCCACAGCCGCCAGGTCCACTCCGGGGAGGGCCACCAGCACCACCTGCGCGAGCAGGACACGGTCACGACAAGGTTGTGTGGTCATCAAGAGCAACCAAGCACTGCCTTCCCCCTCCTCTCCCCCTTCCCCCCTCCACACCCACCCACTCCGCTACCTCAAAAACCCGACCCCGCTTCCTGCGCTCCTTCAAACCTTCCCCCGGTCCAAACCAAGCCATGAAGTCAGCGGAATACCTCTTCCTACCTTCCTCCACCAATCACGACACCCCACTCTTCACCAGCTTGAAGCAGCACAACCCCCAGAACTCAGGTCCGCACCTGGCTGTCCGGTCCATGCTCCGCCTGCGACAGCAGGTCAGCTGCCACATGAGCGGGGGAGGCCCCGGAGTCCGCGATCACCAGGACCTCGGAGGGGCCCGCGGGCATGTCGATGGAAACCATGGCCTCCGAGTTCTGATGGTTGTGTTCCGGAGTTATGCACCGGGGTGGGGGGGAAGGGAGAAGGGAGGAGGGAAGGAGGAGGGACATGGCTGATGAGGTTGCGACGGTCTTGCAAGGGGGGAAGGGTCGAGGGCGGGCAATCCACGGGTATGTCCCAAAAGACGCTCCTCCCTCCCTCCCATCCGTCCCACCTGCAGCAGCATCTTCGCGGCGGTGACGTACTGGTTGCCGGGGCCCAGGATCTTGTCCACTTTGGGACATGAGGCAGTGCCCCAGGCCATGGCGGCTACAGCCTGATTGCGGCGGGGCCAGGGAGGGGCCAGGGGAATTACATACAAAAAGGGAGAGGGAGGAAAGGAAATCATATGGTAATGCAAGCAGCAATGGCCACAACTACCGAGGTGTCCAAAGCCCCGGCAAACTGCTGTTGGGGGGGCTGCCATTAGTGCCCATAGCTGGGGACTCTACTGAGACGTCAACGGCCCAGAGAGGTTTAGGGACCTGGAAAGGAGACGGAAAGGAAGACTGCGGAAGACTGTTGGATTAAAAGGAGCACAAGGGGTAACCTATCAGGGCGGGGGTTACACAGGGGCACCCGACCACCGGGGAGGGCAGTGGCAGCGGGCCGGAGGGCGGCGGTGGCAGCGGGCCGTTATGAGAGGTGTTGATGGCTGAAGAGCGAGGGGCGCGGAACACAGAACTCGGCAGACATTGGCTGGATTGAGGTGCTGAGGTCACAGTGTGGAGGAGGAGGACGACGTCAACTGGAGGAGGGAGCCGAAAAACAACCTTTCCGTACAGCACTGTACGGTACAGTACATTACCTAGCTTGCTGTACCATACCTGCGCTCCGCCCGCTTTCAGGATGTGGGTCACGCCCGCCTTCTTGGCGCAGTACAGCACCTGCCGGATAGCCGGGACCGCCGGGTCGTGTGAGTGTGGCGAGCGGGTGGGGGGAGGTCACGCAAATTGTGGAAAAAAGATAATTACCGGTTAATTTGGGGAGATGAAAATGGGAAAGGAGAGCGGCGCAAAGGCCGCATAATACGTCGCCCCATTAGGTAGGGCCGCCCGCGGGGGGGCTGTTGGAGCAGTGGAGAATGTACGTAGGCAGGGGAGGGGAGGGACGTGCCTTACTAGCCAATTTCCTCTGTTTGAAGTTGCTTAGTAACTCCAACCAAATACTAGCCAAGCACACAAGCACACGCGCCCGTAGGCACACACCTTCTTGCATTCCCTCTCTTTCCCAAACCATCGGGGTACGCCACCGCCACCATCACCGCCACCGCCACCACCACCACCACAAACACTACCATTAATATCGATACCATTGTAACGACGTACCACCACCCCATCATCCCGGTGCAAGAGCACCCAAACTCGACCAAGTCTCACGGCCAAACAAGAAACAAGCTCTCCTCCCCTTTTCTATCCCTCTATACGCACACAAGCACAACGACGTCATCTCCAATGGCGCCCTAACCACGGCTCCGGGTCCCCCCCTTTTTATCTTGTGCGTTTCATTTCCCCTTCCTTTCCGCTATCCTAGGTCCTTTACCTCCCCATTTGTCCCTTATTACTGTGCTCACGTCCGCGCCGCCGATTCTCCTCACCTAACACCCCCCCCTTTACCCAACCTGGCTCCCGCACTTTCCCGAGTCCTGCCAGAGATCCACACTCTTGAACTGGCGGCCTGGTTCCTAACTCCTGTTTCCCCCCCTTTTGCTCACCTACCAACCCAACTAAAAGCCCCTGCCGTGGCGCGGTGCTGCGCCAAACAATGTGGCATTTCGACATATTGAGATTGAGAAGGCGCTTACACGGCGTCAAGGCCTATGAGGCAGGCCTGCTGGTACGTATGCGATTGAGGCCCGTGCGAGTGGTTTGGGTTCCAGGTTGGCGGAACCACGGGCTTCTCTGTCGAATCCATGATTCGACCAAGCTCACCTCCGGGGTGATGGTGCCGTCCGGCCGTGGCGGGGTGGCCAGCACAATCGTCCCGCAACCGGCCAACGCCGCCGGCACTGACAACATGAGTGCGGAGCTGGGCAGTACAGCAGTGCCACCGGGCACATACACACCCACTGAGTTGATGGGCCGGGTCACCCGCCTGCCAGAAGTCAGTGGGCCAAACGGGGTTCCGGGGGTGGGTTTTGCTTTGATTGATGGGGGAGGCGTGTGTGCCGTCTGTTGGTTCCGGACACGAGCCGCAGGCAGGGTTGGAATATCTCCCTGCGGTGGAATGCGCTGGTGTCCACAGCGTGCCGATGCCCACCTCACTGCCTTCACAAGAATAGCAGACAGGGGGTGACAGCCGGGGGGCCCTAGCCACTTCTGTCTGGTCGGAAAAGGGACAGCTCTTCTCCAGGTCTGCGGTATGCTGTGCGTACAACAGCCCAGTTCTGTGACAAAGTCCGCGCAGTCCAAGCCCTCAGGAAACTTGACATCCCTTGCAGCTCAAATCCGCCTCCCAAGCAAGCTGCTCTCCTCAGCAAGGGACTGCCGTGAGTTTGTGGCTTTGCGGAGGTGCGCTCACCTGCAGCGGACTCCAGGCATCGTCTCCACCTCCATGGCCGGTGTTTGCTGCGCCTGATGGAATGCCCTAATATTGTTGTAGGCAACGTCGAAGGCGGCCGTCACCTCAGCCGGGAGTACAGGGTCGGGAAGCTCCTGCTTGGAATGGAATCAGCGACTGGGTTTTGCTACCATGGGACAATGCTAGCGGGCTTGGGCGCTTCAACTGATATTAAAACAAGAATGCTAGCATTAAAAAAAGATCGCTAAGATTGTTTCTACGTGCCACAAGGCAGCTAACCGTCCTTCAATGTTCGATATCTACACACGTCCTTGCCTTACCTCAATCCGCACGCATACTGTATCAAGCTGAACGCGATCAAACTTCGCTGTGTATTCCCGAACGGCATCGTCACCGTTTGTGCGGACATTTTCAACGATTGGGGCCACCTGACATAGAGGACGACGAGCAGATAAATTACAACGAAGTGGCAATATGCTCTCATTGTTCTATTGCATCGGCAAAACACATAGCTTATGAAAACGCCACTACGCAAGCCGCCGACAGACATATACCGTGTTGAGTATGGACGTGAAGTCAACCCGAGGCCTTGCTAACACTTGCTTCATCTCCACAGGAGAAAGCTGACTGTACTGATATGTGCGCAGCGTTGTGGGCGCTTCCATGCTGGCCACAGCCTCAACTCGGAATCGCAGCTGCCGGAGGCCGTTTTGGCGCAGAGGGCAAAGGCAAAACTTCCTCACAAGAAGGTTCGCTGGGTAAGGTATGACGGACTGACTTGTAGCCAGTGTCTTGCCACTTGAGATAATAGTCGCCATTAGCGCGCTAAGCGCAGCGCGGACCTAATAACTCGTCGCACAGAGCTATCGGTACAGCTACAATAAATGGAAGAGCTTGATACCGCAAATTGCAGCGTCGGGTCATGCACCCAGAAAGGCAGCTCCGAATCACCTTTGTACGAACCACAAGCAAACCAGGCATACTGTATCATTAAGATTGGACCATGCCCTGTGTGGACAATGGCACACACAACGTGCACATCCCCAATGCAGAATACATTCAACTTAAGGATCACTCTCAAAACACACAGCCACCAAGTACCCGGAGCAGCATGACCTGTTGGTCGCGCGCATAATGTTCGTCCACAGCATGAAGCGAGGCAGTGACAGCTCCTACAGAAAACAGGACAAGTTTCCTTACTAAACCCGTACGAGCAAGCACCTAGTCTTGATGGCCAAGGCACCTGACGAAGCTTGGGACAAGCACCACACCTGGCAACACTGCGGTACTGCACGCCAAGCATGCAACCCGTTCGTCATAAAGTCACGTCCTTGGCAATTGCAATGGCACATCCCCCTGCCAACCAACTGGCCCCATTCACGCATCCCGCCGCTAAAAACATGCAACAGACGCATGCGCACGTGCTCTCTGAGCCCGATGAGATGCGCAGCTTTTGCGACGCTCACACATGCCAAAAAAGCAGTTCATTAGTTCCTCCTAACACAGCGTGCAGACTGCGGTGGCGAGTAGCATCCCGCCTTCCATCCTGCACACTCTGTGTCCGGCAACGTAAACTCGTAATGATGGTCCAAGACTGTTTGTGCGGGGCCAAGAGCCCATTCGCTTGCACCTATCATCTCCAATTGGGGTCCCAACCGTATGCACCTCAGCTCCCTGCGGCCGTCAGCGGCGCTAGACGTCCTGTGGTCAGGGACAGTTGTACGGCAGTCTTTCAGCAACACTGCTATACACGTTAGGTCATAAGAAGTTCCACCCAGTTCCGTCAGCATCCGCTCTTTTGCATGAATAACAACGACGATCAACAACCGCCTAATTGCAAAACCGCCCTCAGCAACAGGGGTGGGCCAACTCCACCAGAGCATTGAACACCCACCGTCTGAGCGGTGCTTGACCGCTTTGCCTCTGCTTTGGCGCTCGCGGAATTCCTCTCTACCGAGCCGGGCATAGGAGATGCCCGGAACTTAGGGATATGTGACTCCAGGCGCGCCTTCTCTTCTTTCTTTATGCGGCAAAATCATAGGGACAAAAATATTCGTGTCAGCATAAAGGTCGGGTCTACATTCATGAAGAGCCATTACCGCCCGACCCAAGGGACATTCCCATCAACCACGAATCCACGAATTACACCTGCCACGTCGCAGCAAGGACGAAGGGCATACCATCGCGAAGACTTCCCTGTCCATAGCCCCTGGCAGTTAAGCACTAAGCAGTCATGACAACCGGGAGCTTGCGGAGTCCCCACCAACCTTTTTGGCTAGCTCCTCCTGCGCCTTTTGGTGACGCTCCGCTGAAGCGAGACGAAATGGTTCCGGTGTCGTGCCAACGACTTTCGTGTTGCCCTGCATCACGCTGGGAGACAGCGCGGTGCCCGTAGTGGCACTGAGTTCTCGGGCCGCGCTCTTTGGAGGGGCCGAGTTTGGTGCTCTCGCACGGCTGGGCTGAGAGATTGCATCACCCTGCGTTCACCATGAAGCGCACACGGAACCTTGCAATGTACTTATGGCATTTCAGGTGCAGCTCGCAGGCCTGTGCCCTTCACCCGCTACACCGGGATTCTCTGGGATATGCTGATATTGCCAAATCCGAAAGCAGTTTGTAGTAGCGCACACAGAGCATGCAAAGAGCAGCACATCCCAGGGCATACCTGCAGGCTCTGGCTTGCTCTAAAGTCCACCTCCTTTGCAGCCTTCGACTTTCCCGAACTCCACGCCTACAATAGGAGTAGATAAAGTCCACATTTGCAGCACAGTGGCTGGCCTGTCAATCTACACAGCAAAATCCCTGCCGCTTCGTCCGACACACCCGATAGGAAGAAGATACAACAAACCTAAGCATCAAGACAAGTCGTGCGTCGAGTGCTTTGATTTGTCAACCCCCCTGTCCTTATGCGTTCCTGAGCCTACCAGAAACGCTGCCGTGGGGCGCAACAAATTGCTGCGGATGTTGTCGAAAACGGGCTTCTTCGGCTCCTTCTTCTCCTCCGGAGATGTCGTCGGCCGCGGCGCCAGATAGTGAATACGTCGTAGTGGCTTGTTAGTGCTCGCAAATGTAACGGGAGGGGGCGAAGAAGAGGACGGAACATCGCTGTCCTCTTTCGTGACGCGAGCCTATCGAGCATGGGCATGACAATAACAGGTGAGTTACGCAAAACCCCATCCTAATTGCAGTGGCGTTACAAGGACGCGTCAGCAGCTGTTCCGCACCACTCAGCACTGGTACCAGATATAGTGGCAATTAGAATCTATGCGCACCTTATGTGAGGCCGTAGGCTTAGCATACGACGGCAACCGCGAGGCCGGCACCGGCGTTGTCATCAGAGCAGACGAAGACCGGTCCTTGCCAAGCGGTATGGTGGTTGATGCCGCGCGAGCGCTAAGGGGGGCTGAGGATGGACGCGGCGGTTTTGCTGCGCTGCTGCTCGCCGCCGGCGTATGCCGCCCATTCATCGCGGGCGTGGGCCTTGCCCACGAATCGCTGGCACCTCCCGTGGAAGTCGGGGGCGTCGCCATCATCGCCGGTGGGGCCCGAATCATCGGCTTTAGCCCGATGCGGTCCCGCGGTGTGGTTCCCCCAGGCCCGGGAGTTGCCGGAGTCATGCCGCCTGGCTTGGGGATGTGGCTGCGGCTGGCAACCGGCGTTCCCGAGAAGGCGTAGTTCGTTGGCGGCTGCCCCTGTACTGTTGTATTCACAGGGGGTTTGATCAAGAAATTTGGGTCTTGCTGCTCCACGCTGGGAGTTGTTGTCATTGATCGCCGGGGCACAGACTCCAAAACGGGGGGTGTCAAACTGGATCGTCGTGAAACAGATTCCACCTCCCGAGAGGGCTCACTGGAGAACTCCCTTGATGGTTCACTCGAAAGCTCTTTGGAGTGCTCTTTCGAGAGCTGCTTCGAGGGTTCCTTAGGGGCCTCCTTGGAGAGCTCCTTCGAGGGCTCCTTTGGGAGCTCTTTAAGAGGCTCCTTAGGGGGCTCCTTGGTTGCAGGCTCAGGTGGACGAGAAGCCATTGGCTTTGGAAGCATGGAAGATGCATTTGTAGGTGCGGATGGGAAGGGCTGCAGAGCCGATGCAGCCTGAGCTGCCGCCGGTGGGGGTAAGGGCACGCTGACAGCCTTGCTTCCTAGCTTCTGTGGCTTCTTCTCTCTCGGAGAAATCTTGCCGGGCTGTTTATGATTAGCTGCTGGCTGGACGTAAATCACCGGTGCGGCTGGCGGCGGCACAACTGCTGCTGGTTGAACTGGTGCACTGGGAGCTGGAGGAGGTGGAGGAGCTGACGGTTGAGGGGCGGGTGGAGCCGGCTCTACAGTCGGTGGCACGACCCTTAGTCAGGTCAAGTTCCATGCTCATCGCAATTTGTATTAGCAGCACCGCACCTTCGTCGTCCTTCTCCGCGAGCTCTTCAGCTGTGAGCTGGGCGCCATCGCCAAAGTTGACCCCCGCGCGTAGACACTCTTTGCGACATACCGCAACAACCGTGCTTGCCTCATCTTGCATAAGAAAAAGCTTCTCAGAAGCTTCTGACACGCTCAACAGGCCCGACCCCAGCACCAAAGCGTTGAGGTCGTTGATTTCACACGCATCGGCCGTGTCCTGCAGAAGGTCTGGAGAAAACTTCGCCTTCCGCAAACATTTCATAAGAAACTCCTGCCCTAAGACTGTCTTCAATACATCCTCTGGAGTGCCCGACGAACGGGCCAAGTCTTCCGCCATAAGGAGACAAAGGATCAAGTTTGAAGTTCGGTGCAGCAAGGGTTCACGGCTTGCGGCTCAAGGATTCTAGTTAACAAGCTTACTATGTCTAGTAGCATTTGGAAGCTGTGAGCTGGAGTCTGGTTGAGACGTTTCTCACCCCCGCCAAACACCCCTGGAGTCATTTTGAAAATTTCTTAGTGGACAATTGCGCATGTGCCGCAAACACTGTGTCTGAGCATTATCATAGCATTGACATGAATGGTCAATTCACTTCACACATCCATCGAGTTCGTGGGTCACCCCAAGTCCGGAAGGTGTTGTCTACCTCCACCTGGTAAAAGCCTCGATGCAAGGCATGCAAGGAAATTAAAACATGAATCAATATTATTATGTCGAATTCAGGTTTCAAAATTGCATCCTTTGTTGTCCTCTCTGCCTGTCCCCTGGCGTTTCGGTAGACGGGCAGTCGCCAAACGGCACTGGGCTTATTTCCAAGCCCTCTGCTGTTTCCTGAGTGTGCAGGGGCATGGTCTCCCTAAAACTTCGTTCACCAATCCATTGGTTTCTATCTGGAACTAAAGCGCAGGTATTCCGAAGGGTAGGTAGGGCGGATAGCTTAGGTAGTTGCAAGCGTGCAAAGGCATGGCAGGAAGGCCGCTTAGCTGCGTCTCTACTACCAAAGCACACATCCACGATATGGACTTCAAACAGTGTCAGCCAAACCTAAGTTTGCAATGACAGAGAAGCGAGGATGGTGGCTGGCGGTTACTTAACGGTTACTGCAAATCATGACGGGCACTGCAGTAACTGACAAATTGGAACAACTAAAAAAATCTCTATGATGAAACTAAACGGAACGGCGATGGCGCGGAAGGCAGAGCTTCGTCAGTACCGTTAAAGTCCGACCCTAAAGGACGGGAAAAGGTCGATGTTGCACAAAAAAAAGATGCAAGCCGCACCGAATGAATATTGTCGAAACCTATAGCCTAGCTGCAAGTATATCCATACCGCGCATAACCGTCAAGCGGGGGAGACCTAACAAGAGCTCTGGACCCGCCGCAAAGCCGACAGTCCCGCCTCAACGGCAGACCGGCTTGCTGCGGCACGCTGAGCCTTCCTCTTGGGACATCTAAAAAGCGGTCGTGCTGCTACCAAGGAAAACACTTAAGCGTGCGGATGCCCTGCACCAGCATTAGTGCCCCTTGGTCGCCAAAACGCACCTGGCCAGTTCCCGGCCCTACATGCTTTCCCCGAGTGGCTCTCGACATGATTTACCTCATGAGATCCGCTTCCCTAGCGGTCATGACTCATATCAAAGACGAGTGTACATTGGGCCGGAGCCGGCGCGTGTTTAAGGAACTTTCGGTACATTTCGGCCCGTGTTTACCAACAGACTCGGCCCCCTGATGATCCGTGAACCACGGCCCGCAGGCTAGGGCAAGACATAGGGCAAGACATAGCGGACTGTAGCACCTAAGGCACGGTACGGGCGCGGGCAGCTAAAAGTTGGAACAGATTGGTTGTAGTGTCAAAGCGCACACGGCGGGCGTGCACCGGGGGAGGTTTCCTGCCGCCTTTGTGGCCCCCATCTGCTACCAGGGGCTCACCACATCCGGCGCACCAGCGTGGCGGGGCGCGCCACAATGAAGTCAACCTCTGGTGATACTAAGTAGACGGAGCAAGAGGGGACGCATGGAGGCCAAACACCAGCACGTGCATGATGTTTTGATGCAGCTGTCATGCAGGATGCAGCGGGCATGCAGGATGCATTTGTTGTGAGTCAGCGCTACCACCACGGTAGCCGCAATAAACGTGAAATGGGCGAATGCGGACTGGACACAAACTCGTGTCAATAGGCCAATACGTGTATTGAGATCCCGGGATCCAGACTTGTTAGGGTCGAAAATCCTTCAGATGGTGGAAGGTAAAGTGCCCCTAGCTGATGGGCGGTGGTGACCTCATATAAAGTTGTCGCGCGAGCCGACCAGGAATGGAGTTGAGCCGCCGTCGATCCGGCAGCATCCGTTGGATGCTGGTGGTGGGTGCGGAATCTAAGCAATCCACTGAGAAGTTGATTAGGGTGACTAGATGAGGGTGCCCTGAAATACCGGGGAAGGCAGGGTTTCGCCGGGTATTGGCCACGGGTGAAGATATGGCCCCCTGTCCCACACATCATATATGTGCCGTGCCACGTACAGCGGCAGGCTGTAACTCGGCTTTTTCCAGCATTCCTCTTCTGAAATTTGTACCCTAGTAGCCAATAGGGTTTGCGAATCGAATGTGTGGATCCGGTTGTCTTACAGTACTCACCTTGATCCTGACCGGGTGACCCTTTCCAGGCGTCTAAACCGCATCACAGCAGCATCGTTCCCCTTTCCTGACGTAAATGCATCCTTGCCAAGTTACATCAATGTCTTTGGCCTGAAGCCAGCACTGCTTGAGACGTCATACCTGCTATGTTCAACACCTCCACAGACCGCAAGCCCGGTCAAGTCTCTGTTCCAAAGGAGTGCCGAAGCCCACCGCCAACGAACGGGCGGGTGGGGTGCAGAGAGCCTTTCGCATTACCTACGCGTCGTGTCAAATGACCTAGTCGCCACCTCCTGAAACCCAGGAGTCCAACTTGCTACCAACGAAGGCAAAGCAGCCAACAGCGCCCTCGCCAACAGCTTTCCTGCATCCTAACCCGTCCCAGTTAAAATACGAAATCGTTGTTGGTCTGCGGCTTGCCACTTGCTTATGGCACGTGTTACAGCCAGCCTGTGGAATGCAATGCGATGCCAGTATAAGTACAAAGAACTGTGATGCGCTGCAGAGTTTGTGGAAGCACGGCGCAGCATAGCAACGGGTGGATAAAGAGTTAAGGCCCACACCTTCTAACGCACCAAATCTAAAAGAATCCGGACATGGAGCCCGCCCCACGGTGCTTCCCTCAGGAGGCTTCCACCAAGGGGACTGAGCCACAGCTAACCCTCCATGCAGTACAGAATTGAAGTGAAGCAACTAACACCAGAAACCCTCCATGCACGTCTAGAGGAAATCCGGGACCCCCTTCGACGGACACGGAGCATAACCCTGAACGACCCCGTGACGTGATGTCCCTAACACATACGGCTAGGCAGCCGGCCACCCTGATGATGGTTGATGATGATGATGAGGCCCTAGTCCTTGTAGGCACGACCTTTTCAGTGGGGTCCTCAGTGTCCTCGGGTAACCTAGCCTGGTCTGGGCTCGTTTGAGCAGTCAAAGAGATTCCAAAACTGGCCTGGTTGCAGCCTGTTTAAGCCATGCGTTCCTTCCCACCATCTCAATAATCAGCCACCCACCCACCCACCCGCCCACCCAGGCATGGAGATTCGAGTAAGGGACATGGAGTGCGGCGTTACGCAATATACCACTCCACCCAACAAACAACGTGCTGGTGGAGATATATGTGGCCCTAAACAACAGAAGCAGCCGAGTAGGGCGGTATGGCCACGCCAACTAAAGCAGCACGCCAGCAGCAAGCAGTAGGGCGCGGACAGTGCTAGGAACAAGCAGCACCCTCTGCACCCGGCATGAGGTGAAGGCGTGTGCGCCAGCCAAGTTCGCGCCGAGGAGCAGACAGACACTCCTACGAAGCTTGTTGCAGGTACCGGCGGATGAGCGACTCGACGTTTTCGTCAAACAGCTCGCATTTGATGACTTGTTCCGTTTCGTAGAAAGGGTTTTTCATCACATAGTCCGAGTAAAGCTCATATATCCTGTACGGCACAACGTACGGCGTTAAATTGCCGTGATCAATGCCGTGATTGATGCATGGGGGAAATATGTTACACCCTCCAATGGGATTGAGAGGGCGGGGCGAGATGGACGTGGCCAGGCAGCTAAAATCGGACACGAGCCGGTTGAGGGCAAGAGGCAGAAAGAGGCGGAGAGGGAAGACGAGAGAGAGAGACACAGAGAGGGAGGGAGAAAAAAAGGGAGAAGCCCATAGTCCCATGGCCCCCGGCCCCGCCAGCCCATAGCCCCCGGCCGCGCATCTTGCAACCAACCCGCTTCCGTGCGCATGTCGTACCTTTGCAGCAATGCCGGTATGAAAGAGGCGTGTGGGTCCACCACTAACAAGAACTTGGTACCCGTCAAGGTCTGCAGGGGATGATAAGGCATATTGGATATACAGGAGGAATCAGTTATACAACGTTGTGGAGCCCGGTGCTGGCGGCGCCGGCGAAGAACCGTATGCTGCTGCGCTTCGGAATGGGTCCAGACGTCTACACCGGCGAAAAAGTATTTTTCGGGGGTGGTTGGCATCAGAAGGCCTCGCACCCAGATGCGTTAGTCATCTCGTTGAGCAGAACGAAGAGTATGTATGTTGGGCCAAGGCGATGCTTGCCGCCTGCCGCCTACCTCCTGCCCTCTTCATCGGCAGTTAACGACTACTAGTATTTTGCAAACAAGCAGTATTTTCCTCCTTTCCCCCTGTTCCCCTTTTCCTGTATGTCCTCACAAGAGCATAAGCCTGGGTTAATCCTTTTCTCGACACTCATAAGGCCCACCTGGAAGCAGTGGAGGTTGAAGGTGTCCGCCTCCAGGAGCTCAATGCCGGTGCATCCAGGTACCGGACTTAGCTGGCTTGCAATCACGTGGAGGGAGTGCCTAGAAGTAGGCCAGGCCAGGGAGGGAGGCAGCCAGGAAGGCAGAGCAGAACGACCCACGGGGCCAAAGGGCAAGGGGAGGGCAACTGTGAGTTCACTGGGCAAGTGGTGTGCACGTTTTCCTGGGGCCGGATGGAGGGAACCCAACCCCAATACTGTCACCCCTGTCACCCATCGTACTGTATAGCACACAGCCAAACCTGTACGCGCCAGTAGCGCAGCCGTTACACAATCGTTGCTGCATAGTTCAGTGGAATGCCTGACCGGCTCATTGAGGGCAGTTCCAGTCCAGTCCAGTAACACCAATAGTTCCACAATCGCCGAGGAGAACGTGCTGTTCCAAAACACGCTTATAACCCCAAACCAGTCCGGTCCGGTCATGTCCCACAAAGGCCACAACACCACTATCGCCCGAGGGCAGCCCTCAATCGCACGTCAAGGCTCCTGCGGTACAGCAGCCCTCACCATCCCTGACCCCATGCCTGGCTGACATTATTCGGATCCCCAAGCTGAGCCTTTCCTGTTGGGGAGTACCACGTATAATTACATACCAGTGTGAGCAATAGCTGTTTAGCTCAGGACCAGCCCCATCGTCAGGGCGTCCTTGAGGATGCGAGGATAGCCCTGATGGCCGCCATCGCATTATCGGGCGAACAGGGGCCACGAAAGCAAGCTATCAAGCAAACGACGTTGTCCGTCATCAAGCGGGAGCGCAGGCTTCAGAAGACCTGCGGCATGAGCGCCCTCTGCCAAACCCCCAATCGTGCTTAACCTTCTTCATCGTGCCACCGTCATCATGCACCCTTTCTTCTTGCGCTCTCCCTACCATCATGTGCTTCTTCGCGAGGGGGAGGCAGGGGAGGAGGGACTCCGGCACCCAACCACACGCCCCACACCTGTACCCTCCCGTCCACCGCTCTGCGATCTGACCTTTGCTACCCTTCGGGGTTCGCTCCGGGCAGAGAAGAGCTGTCACATGACCTTATGTTGCCCCTCATGTGTTTCCTACCATCACATGCTACCATAAAAGCCCCGTGGCAGACTGCCCTGTGGTGTCGCTGTCACGTCTAGACCGGCCCAGCAGGACAATCCGAGTGTCTCTCGGCCTAGTCCAACTTGGCTCAACACAGCCCAGCCACGCACACAGTCTTAACTCAGATTGCCATGTATGACTGCTTGGGTGCTCCAGGAGGCACTAACCAGCCTGCTGAGGTAGCTTGGGATGCCGGGAGCTCATTCCCGCCCCGGCCCATCCACTCAGCCGTACACCCGTACCCGCCATCCTAATGTAAACAGCGTTCATAAAGTTGAGGTGCCCAGCATTGATGTGGTCCCTTAAGATGAGAGCCTTGCTCCGGTGTCGGAGGGCTTACCAGATGCTAGCTAGGCGCAGCGAGTCGTTGGTTTCCACGCGGGCGGCTTCACAGAAATCCTGCGCATTTCGCAAGATGCAAAAGGGAGCAAATGCTATGGAGCTTGGCGCGCAAACACGTTGAAAGGGCGGGGCATGGATGCGGGGCTTCAGCCTTTCGAGGCCAAGGTTGCAGGAGCGAAGGGAAAGACCGTGCTGGTTGCGGATACACAGCTAACTTGCGTGCCTCCAGTAAGGAAGTTTATGGGGGAGCATTAACCAACATACCCTGTTGTAAATAAGTCCACCGGATTTGTTGATCACGTAGAGCGAGTACACCGACATCCTCCAGACACCCGCCACTCCACCGGACAGCCCTGCGGCTAGCCCTCCCAGCCGACAGCGACAGGCAAATGCAAAGGTTCCTGAAATACACCTGTTCAGTTCGTCATCGCTAACTTGGGCTCTGCGCAGACCTCTCCGCGCCAAAAGAAAGAATCAGTTCCATAGGAACAAATGCACAATTTACAACAAAGGCTTTCAAGAAGTCTTTGAATGGTTGGTGACACACATTGCACACAGGCAACGGGCAATTAAGGGTTGCTCGTCCACCATGTGCCGTAAATTGTAAGCATAGGATAGCTGGTGCATTGCCCGATGCTGCAATATCGCAGAAAGCGGTACTGTCCACTTACTGGCATAGTATTATATATTATTTATATATATTTGCAAACATTTTGAACCGTGGCCCTTGGGGCAGCGTGCGCACCTCGGCTACCAGATATTTATGCCGCCTACCAAAATTGATTTCCTCTACTTCATTAGTCCATCGTGAGCAAAGTCTTTCCAAGCTTCAGTATCAAAGGCCGTACCCTTGACATGACCTTGGCAGTGCTCCTGCGGAGGTGGGGCTCAGGAGACCTTCCCGGGCGCTGACTGCTGCCGCCACTTCTGGCAAACGCGCTACCTGCCGGCGCTGCCATGGTCTTCGGGCTTTTCACCACGGACAATGGAGCCGCAAGCAGCGACCGCGGAGCACCTAGCCCATACGTACACCGGCATGATCACCATCGCAAATTGGACGCATCGGAAAAGACTGCTCCATCCCAGCCGTCTGCGCCAGCAGGAGGGGCCAAGCAATTTCTCCTTGTGCTCAACAATGGCCACGGAATCAGGCACCTAGCGACACATCGGGGCTACGCCATAGCGCCAGACGGCATCAGGCTGTTTTTTGAAATCTTTGAGTGCCACGGCCATACAGCTACCGGGTATGCCGCTCCGGAATCAGCGTGCTGTTATGAAGTCCGAGCGACCGGGGCTCTTTTTGAAGGTAGCGTTAATATGAGCCCAGATAAGGAGGCCGCAAGGGACGGGCAGGACCGCGCCGAGATCAGTCCGAAACGTGCAAACAAGCATTCATTGAATGGCGTGTCCGTAACGCCTGGGTCAGCGGTGGCAACGCCCACGGCTGCAGCCCTAGCAGTATCGTCAGGATCGGAAGCTGCAGCTTTAACAGCAGTAGCAGTAATAGCAGGGCCACAGGAAGAAGGCAATGTGGTAGGAATGGGTTCAGCAGGAAATAGCGCAGGCGCAGGTACGATGCAGTTTTCGGAGAGCGGGCCAGCGACCCGCGGGTCAGTTAGAGGAAGCGACAGCGCCATCGCCACCACTCAGCAAACAGAAACGGCGGGTGAGACTCGAATTCGCATCGCCGCGCACTATCTCTTTCCACCTTTCTTTTCCTTTCCTCACACCTTGTGGGGGGAGAATGCGCACCTGGAGAAGATGATCACGGTTTGCTAAGAATGCTGCACCGTCACTGTCATGCCGTATGTCTATAACAGTCATGTCACGACCTACCGGCTTCTCGCGACCCTTATCGGGCGTGGCCCACATACTCACGCATACACCTGCATGCAGATGTTGGAAGTGACGGCGGTAGCGATGGGGGCCAGCACCGGCAATCTGGTTTGCCTGGCTCCTCGTCGGAGCCGGGGAAGGCGGTAGTGATGACGGCGGCAGAGCCTGTCGGGACAGCGCCATCGGGATTGGGGGGCCCATGGAAGGCGGAGCTGGAGGCAAGTCAGGTCGGGAAAGCCGCCGCCTCTGCTGCCTTTGCTTCCACTTCCTCTTCATCTACCGTCTCCGCCTTCGCTGCATCCACCACTGGTTGCAAGGAGGATGTGGCCAACGTGCTGCTCATAATGGGTGAGGCCCGAGAGTTGGTTGAGATTGGTAGCCGTTCGGGGAGTCCTTAAGGAATGCGTCGGTCATGTGACGGCTTTGGAAGCGCTCGTGCCTGTGCCCGCTGCGTGTAACCAGAGCAAGCGGCAGAAGATTGAGCGCGTGCACAGGAGCCATGATACTCCGCAAGAACGGGGCGGGTTTCTACAGGCGCTCCAGCGTTCCTTGCCTGCGGGCGTCAGGCCTTTCGCTATGCGTGCCTGGCCTGGTGCTATGCATGGCTTGCTGCTGTTGTTGGTTGCGGTCTTATAGAGCCATGGTTGCTCCACAGCACACGGAAACTCGCGCATCCCGCGTCACCCCAATCCCAATGCCGACCTACGGCACCGACCAACCAACCCGACCGACCCGAATCGCATCCCTCGTTGCGGGCCAGGTTTTGCGGCGGGGCGAAACGGCTGGCTGCCGCTGATCCAGCATTGGATGAAACAAGTAAGGATCCAGGGGTTAGGGCTCTGGAGGCCTGGTCTCACAAAAAACACAACAGCAGACATAGGCCGCTGCCACAAAGGCCGTTTGAGTTCATCCACTTGAAATCCTTGCACAGGCGGATTCGGAGCCCCTGCTTCGGCACCAGCGAGTCCGTTTCTGCGTTTTTGACAACCGGGGCATTGGCGACAGCGACAGCCCTCCACACTCGAAACAATACTCGACCACCGTGATGGCGAGCGACGCGCTAGCAGTGATGGTGGGTGTCTTATGTACTTGTGCACGGTGTTGGCATGGTTGGGTGTGGTTTTTTCTTTGCGTTCAAATGATGTGACGATGGCGCGGGTGCGAATCAGTGCTCCAGTGCGAATCAGCTCAGGCACAGACCAACAGGATTGCGACTGGTAAAATCAGCCAGTAGCAACCGTCATGCGTGTGTGGTTTCTTCTCTCCTGAAGCAACCAATGGACATGTTGATCGCGAGCGTTAACATACGCATATCTTTGCTGTAGTAGTGCTTATGAGGTTCATGGGTGGGCAGGTAAGCAGCAGGCGGAGGCGGTAGATGGGTTGGCACACGTCCTGTAGTATTAATTTTGGCCCGCAGCGCAGGTGTTTGGTAGGCAGAGGCCGGGCAAGCCAGGGGAAGGGCTCACATGGGCACGTATGCGCGCATGTCTGCGATGCGTGAATGCCCTCGGCTATTGTTCCGCCTCCTATCCCCTCAACCCATTCCATTATTCGCTCTTCTCGCCACCGGCCCCGTTCCGACGCCAACCGTTGCTACTACTACTATTACTACCACCACCACCGCCGCGGACTATGCTTCAGGACCGTTTGGGCTGGCACAAGGCCCATGTGGTGGGGTTCTCCATGGGCGGCATGATCGCGCTGCGACTTGCCGTACAGGCTCCAGAGCGGTTGCTTTCGCTGACGGCGCTCTCCGTCACCAATGGAGGCTGGCAGGTTATTCCCACTCGTTGGCGGGCGGTGAAGCTGCTGATGCGGGCCGCAACGGCACGCACGCCACGAGAACGCGCGCACGCGGACGTGCACTTTCACTTCAGCCGCGCGACGTTGCATGCGCAGGTGGGCTCGGGTTGTTCTGGGGCTTGGGGATGCGAGTATGCTGGAGATGTGTGGGTAATAAGCGGACCATTCAAAAAGGTGCACGTAGAGAGGATTAGGTATTTCGGGCGCGTTATTCCGCCTGCTCGGACAGGACATGTGTACTTTCATCGGAAAGTAGGTTAGGGAGGATAATCTTTGTGATGTGCAATGCGTGTGTCGCTCTCGTTGATCCGATTTTAGCCTTCGACTTGGGGTCTGTCTTTCCTTTCCTATCTCCATCCTTCTGCATTTCTGCCTCCTAATAGATACCCGTGCTGGACTCCTGCGATGGCGGCGATAGCGGTGGAGGCAATCGTACGGTGGCGACGGCGCAGGTCCACCAGAGTGTGGAGACGGCACTCATAGACGAATACGTGTCAACGAGCCAAGAAGGCGCGCCTCAGCCGCATTCGGGCGTTATGGGACAGCTGCATGCGGTTTGGAACCACGGTCTGTCGGTTTCGGAGCAGCGGCGCCTGCGACACCTGGCGGTACCGTTCAAGGTTATCCATGGCGACCATGACATGATGGCAATGCCGTCGTACGGCGAGCGCATCGCAAAGCACACGGGAGCGGAGTTTATTATGCTCAGTGGCGGTCACTTTGTGGCTCGGGAATGTGCGCCCGAGGTGGGTAACTTGGTGCGGGCATAGACTGGGAATATGTGTGCTGGTGGTGGTGGTCCTGAAGTTGTGCGTAAAGGATCAGCGACATTCACTTGCTTGACATTTCTGTTTTTGACTTTGCACCATGCAGGTTTGCATACACATCGCGGAGAGCATCGTGAGCGCGCGGAAGCTGAAGAGAGCTACCTAGGAGCAAGGACAGAAGGACCGCTGCGATACCGCTCTCTAGGCGTGTTGGAACGTCCGATTATTTTATTTTGATGATCATGTGTATGGTCGAACGGATAATCCGTTACGGGTGTAGTAAAGTGACGGTTGTTGTCAGTGCATACGTAGCATGCCCAACGCGCTTTCACGCTGGCTGGGCCATGAATGAGAATATTAAGCGTTGAGGATATGTCAGTACGTATAAATATCCACAGTTTAGTGACAGCATTTGCGTCCAACCTCGTTAATACACGGCGCCACGCCCGAGGTGCAAATGGGAGGTGTGTAGAGAGGTGCGAGCCAAGAGGCAGCACCGCTATGCATTGCACAGTGGAATGCCAGAGGTGTGAAAACGTGGAAGCTGGAGAGTTTTGGGTGAGGAAGGACGTTTTGGAGTCTGTTTTGATTATACTGCCACCAACTGGGGTGCCATGATCCTAAGGGGTCTCGGGTGCTTAGGACACTTACCGGAGCTGTACCTGAACCTGTATGAAGAGGGGAAGGTCAATTTCATTTCATCGAACCCGATCAATGTTAGATCTCATGAAAACATGAAAGGACCGATTTAATGATGACTAGCAGAACCCACGTCTAATTACTACACCCGGGGAATTTGTGTCGGTCAACCGTAAACCAGGGGTTAAGTTGTGCCCATACTCATTGGATGGGAACGCCGAAACACACGACGTGCTACATCCCTCCCAAGTCATACTTGTCACTGCTGCAGTTTCGCTTAGGGGCGTCGCCTTTGGAGATGTCGGTCGCGCCAAGAGCACTGGTGTTTGGTCCGTGGCAACAAGAATGCAGTAAAATATGAGTTCGTGTGTTGCTAGAGTGTCCCGCGTACCTACGGGAAGGGCTTTTCAACCTAGGTGTACGCCAGGCTAATATCGAGCCCTTGCATAATATGAGGTCTCTCATGGAGATAAATGATCGGCGCGGACGTGAGCAGATCGTACACAACATCTGGATGAGGCGACGCCGAGTAGTAAGCCTGAGGTCGCTTACTGTAGTTACTGTTTTCTCTCGCAGATGGGGTTCTGAACCCTTTCTTCTTTTTCCTTTTTTGTTTCCTCCCTGTTTTTGCTACGCCAGAACTCGCGATGAGCCGTCTGGGCCTGACGAGCTCTCGCGAGCTTGTAACATACACCATCCGTGCTAGCCCGCCATATGCCAAGGATCAAGCCCTAATCCGTGGCGTTAATCCTATGTGGAAACACCCCCTAACAGTTTACCTGAACAGCGGAGAAAGTGGTATCGACTTCCCGTAAAATTCCTTACTAAATCATTTGGGCATAAGCTTTTGGGCATAAGCTTCTGAGTTCGGAGGATGAGACTTTCCTGAAGTTAATGCAAGTCTGGTCTCGGAACGATAGCGCCGTACGTCCCAGTAGCAGGCTGTTGAACCCAACTGCCGCGGTTTGTGTGCTGAAAATCTGACTTGACTTTAGGAGACAAATTTGGGTGCCCTCTTGCCCTTCCCCACTCCTCCTTGGGAAGTGTCCAATTCACATATTTGCCTCCCCTCAACCTCTTTGCGCTTCAACTCGCAAGTCCACACCAAAATTGCCAACATAACAGCAGCTCAAATAACAAAACAATTGGAGCTTTAACGCACGTGGGCGCTGGAGGGAGGCGAGGTGCGGGCTCCTAGCTGTTGTTTTGGGGGAGGTTCGCTACTTACGTGCTACGCACAGGAAGCTGGTTTGCGTGGCAGGATTTCCTTGAAGTTTGTTAAAATTTACGCAAGTAATAAAAGGACTATACAGCAATACGTCAATTACTTTACGTCTGTCGGGGCCTGACCAGATACTTTGAACGCGTTTGCGCATCACTGACTCCCTCTGACTAGCTGCCAAGGATATCATAAGTTGAAAAGCATACATAAATTGATTGTTATGGATTCATAGGATAGGCCCCAGCCTGTCCGGGACATTCAAGTCAGCGCATTGCTGCTAGCGGGCCAAACCTTAGCGCCAAGCCCGCTCATCTCATTCATCGCAGATGTATCGCGCGTCCATGGGGACGCGAGTTGTTTTCGTGCTCAGCGGCCTTTGGCTGGCTGCTATGAGCGTCACCGCGGAACACAGTTTGCAAGGCTTGGAGTTCGTTCCACGGTGCGTTTCTGCCTTCCCTGCAACATGATTAAAGCTCATTGTTGGCCGAGGCTCGTGTCCCGCACGGTCCAAGGCCTTAAAAGTTGGTTTTCACGTTAAGTGCTGCCTATGCAGGTTTACTCGGCTCTTGCGGCAGGATCTTAGTAGCGTGGCGTCCTACCTCTTGCCCACGGAGCAGCCTCCTCTCTGCGCCGGACAATGCTGCCAGGCGGACTCTTACGCGTCACCGTACGGCTTACTTTCTATGAGCAATACGCAGCAGATTTTCGGCGGGCGTACATACACGACGTTTTCCTTCATCCTTCACTCCAACCAGACTTGCAATAGCGCCTTGGACCACGCGGGTTGCTGCAGCAGCGCAGCGTACATTGTCTGGATTGACGTTGGTGAGTCGCTATGCCATGCAGAACTCACTTGAGCCTCATGCTACCCTGTTTGCCAGCTGACAGGGGTGGATTGGTTGTTTCAGGCAGGCTCGGGTGCTTGAGCTGCGCCATGACACAGTTTCGGCTGAACCCCGTTCCTTCCCATGGCTATTGCCGCTGTTGCCCCCTCACCGCAGATCCCACGTTGAAGGTCAAGTACGTGTCCTATAATGGCGTGCGCCTCGCGAGTGCGGAGCAGAGCCAGTTCGGTCTGAAGCTCGGCTCCCTTAATCTCCAGGTGGCGCAAGCAAAGAATGGTACGCAGCGTTGATTAACCCGAAGTCACGGGGACGTGACACTGATGCATCGGGGGTAGAGTTATGGCTTTGCGGCGTTGTTCGTCTTCGTAGAGAGCAGTGTTTCGGATGCTCGGATGCCTGCAAGTTTCATCTACACTGATTCCGCTTTGGGGCAGTGATTTTTCAACGCCTCGTGCGACCCGCGACCTGATGTCCGCGGCCTCTCGATGTCCAGTGATCCCTCTGCGCTTGTCCCTCTTCCCTTCTGTGCTTTCTTTCTGCCACATGTATGATCCCGAATTCGTCAAGCATCATTTCCCACTTCTCAACCTGATTCCTCTCCCGTTGCTTTCCTGCTCGTATATGTTATCTCCCAGGCATTCCCGTGGCCATTACCGTAGAGGGCGCCGCAGATACGCTGTGTCCGCCGCCTGGCCTTGCCCCCGTCACCGGCTTGTGCGAGCTGGTCATCCAGGGTGGCACTGACATCAATCCCAACGCCTGCTGCCCCACCACCGTCACCGCTGCTGGCAGCGGGCCCTCGTCGCAACCGGGCCCCAATTCCGTCTTCCAGTGCTCGGGCACCTTGAGCAACAGTCCATTCAAGCTGGTCTTTGATGGCGTCACGCCCATCTCCAGCCAATCCACCTCCACCTCGCTCGCTCAAGCCCAGTTCCTGGCCTACAATTTTCGCCTGGTGGCCACGTCCTCGTGCGAGCCCGACGGTGTGACGAACTGCTGCCACGCCCAGCTAGCGTATGTCAACCTCAAGGTGACGGACCTGCCCATTAGCGGTGTTCAGCTGGGCCGAAGTAGCGTAAACTTCTCGACGTCATCTTGGAATGAGCCCAACAGCGCTTCGTACCGGTCGCTTTTGGTGGATGAGCTGAACTTGGTGGCAGACGATCTGGGTTCCAATGGCCTGGCTCTGACGGTGACGGTGCGGTTGCCCATCGGCAGTACTGCATCCAACGTCGATCTGTGCGACGCCTCGTCGGACCCGCAGCAGGGCGCCTGCACCTACTATCTTCACTCGGAGGATGGCTTTTGCTGCCCATCTGGGCTGGTGCTGCCGAGCGCTGGCGTGCCACCGCCACCGGCAGGGACTTGCTGGCCGACACAGAACGTGCCTGCTGCCGATACATCCATGTCGCTCCAGTATTACGAGCGTGTCGCATCGGCTGCCACTACCACATTTGCGTTCTTGTTGGCCAACCACAATCCCGCGTCGGGCTGCACCAAAAGCTACTGTGTGGACGTTTGCTCGTGGACTTTGTATCTGGACCCTGGTGCCGCGTCGCAGGTGGCAGTTGGCCATGAGAGCCCTCTAAACAATGGCCGCCAGACGATCGAGGCCGGCTCGGGCACCTCACCAGCAAGTCTCACCTTTACCTACGGCCCCGCTGGCGAGTCGACCAATACGTTCTATGTGACGTTGCCTGCCGGCGGCAAGCACCTGACTGATCTTTGTGCGCGCAACGCGCTTCCGGGACAAGGTGTCCGGCCTTGTGCAGCCGTCGTTCGCAGCGCCTCGGTTTACATTATGGTGTTCTTTGACGACAGTGACGTCATTATTGTGCCCGGTGCAGCACCGCCGCCGCCACCGCCGGTGGAGCAAATATGCATGTCGCCACGGCCCATGTCCGACTCTTGTCTCGTTGCTCAGACTGCGCACTATAACACCCTATCCTCTACAGCGGTGTTTGATTTCCCTGTCTCACCGGCCGCCGCCAGCACCACCTGCCGGCCGCCGGCCGCGCCGGGTGACCTGGCCACGCTGCATCTACTGCTTGCCCCCGCGACCGTGGACCAGCTCACGACGCGTAGGCAGATCCGGCCTGACAGGGGTGTGTCCCTTGACCGGAACGATGGTGTGCGATGGCAGGTTTCCACGACTGCAGCTAGCTCGTTATCCTTCCAGGTGCAGGGCCCACTGGGCATCACGGAGGTTTGCCAGCAAGGTGTGACAGGTGAACAGCCGGCCGGCACTTGCGTGGTAGAGGTAAGCGGCGACCTGGGCTGCTTCCGAGGCTACGTGGGCGCGACAGCAGACGGCCGGCTCATCTGGGTCGAGGAGTCGACAAGCAAGAAGGGCGTGGGCGCAAGTGTTATTGTGCCGGCGGTCGTGGTGCCGCTTGTGGCAGTACTCGCAGTCACGCTGCTGGTGATGGCGTGGTATCGCCGCCGCAAGGGCCAACAGTACTTCTTCATGAACAGCGGCAGCGACGATCTGGATCGGCCACTGGCGACACAAAGCATCAACAGCCTCCATGACGACCTTGCCACGGCGTCGGCTGCGGCCAGTGACGTGCAGATTCGCGTGCCGGGTGCGAGCCAGGGTGGGGCCATGCCTATTGGCCGACGCTGAGGGCTGAGTCGGGGGCACCTGCTTTCCTGGGCGAAAGATGGTATTGGCTGGGACCCACGGCACAGGCAGGGGATTGCTGGTGGGCTGGGATTTGCGATTCTCGTCCCCTCCGGCAGTTCACTTCTATGTGTGAATGGTATTTGGGTGTGGAGTGGGAGGCCATTTGATGTCTTTTGTGATAGGTGGGAAAGGTGCCGTGGTTGCGCTGGTTTGCGGGCTGGACTCGGGTGCATGGGGACTGGCTTGCAATCGGGGGCCTTTGCAGCCGACCGTGGACAGGCTGATGACACGACATGACAGCTGGCAAGGACGCCATGGATAGGGGTCCGGAACAGTGGAAGGGGCCGCGAATTGAAACAGCGACAGATGACAAGACAGGCGCATGCGCTGTGATTTGTCAAGTTAGTACCACGGCGCATTGTCGCCTGTGTGAATTTAGACCTTACCCGGTGGCTTAGGAGGTCGGCTAGCCAAGGCGGGAACGTAGGAAGGCGGCAGTAACTGCGGAGATGAAATCCTGCAGCCCAAACAAGGGCGTGGGCTTCGCATCCATCTGTATAGCTGTTGGGGCCGTAGATCAACGCGCATGCCAACATGCGTGGGGTGTGGTAGTGGCTAAGAACTAGCGGGCTCGTGGCGATCGTGGACGATGTCAGTGTGTAGCCCAGTGGCACGTTAGTGACGTATTAGTAGGCAGCGCTGAGACCTTAGCTGTGGACGGATCGTGGTAGTTGGTGAAAGTGCTGCAGCCCACAGAGGCTTGCACCGTAAATGCATGGAACCCCTTGGAATGACGTGAGATGAGCTGTCGCGCTTGCACCACTTGAGATTCAGGGCAGTGCATTCCGTGGTAGTATACTGCCTCAAAGCTGGTTAGCGACACTAGGAAGGGGGTTGGCACGCCACATAACGAAAGTTTAATTCGCAGGGTGGTGCGATTGTATCCCTGTTGTGGTGATCCCTTGCCATTCGGGTTCCCCGGATAACCTGGGAAAACGCTGCATCGCACCGGGCTTAGGGCGTTTTTGATGTTGTTGGATGTCAAGCCTTGGTGGTTCATTACGGATAAGCACAGGAAACAGGCGCACAGCCCCCCTGGTACACCGTCCAGCATCGCTCTTATGCCTAACTGCTTACCAGCCACAACTGAATGCCCAACATCAATGAATGCGGCGGGAAGGATGCAGCAATACGAACGAAAGAAATCTTACGTCCTCGTGGGCCAACTCTGGCAGGCGGCCCAACGTCATTGGTTCACTCCCCTTGTAGGCCATTACGTGCGTAGACTGCCCTGTGCACTTCACACTTCCTTGGTCCACCTGGGTAAGTGGATGTGCCCTCACTTTGCACTAAGAATGAAACATGTATCCACGACCCTCTCGATGCAACAGCCCTAGCGGTGCAATCAAAACCCACTCCTATCTATGCCCATCGTCCCGGCCACCACAAGCGAACCTAAGAGTTACAAGTTCCGCACACAAGTGCGGGTGTGTCCGTAAAAGCCGGGGGGCCATGGACGTTGTATTGGTATTGATGCGGGTACGCGGGAGGTCATCTTCATTCTCCCTCGTCCGCTTCAGGGTGAAGCGCCTCAGCGCGACGTGCCTGGCCTCCCAAATAACTAAGAATGCCAGGCATACATATCTGCATGTGGACTTTGGTTCCTCCACATCACCCGACAGATCCCAAGGGATTCAATATACCGCGCAAGTCCCCTCTGGTCCCGACAAAACAGGACATGGCTTGGCGGATTTCTCAGAGGACGCCTCACCCAGAACCACCGTAGTCCCGAAACGCTCCTTTCCCGCACTCTCCTGCCCTGCCCCGCTCTGCACCCGCACGAGCATCCTGCAGGATCTTCGCGTCAACAATCACCAGTCGGCAGGAAACCAGACAGCAACGACCTCCCACGTGGGCGGAGGGGACAACACGGTGGGTCCCCCTCTTTCGCTAGGAGTCCAACATCTCCCCACTCTCACCTCACCCTCCTGCCTGCCTGCCTGCCCTCCTTTGGAGGTCGACCCTTGCCGGGTCGTTATACACAAGCACATACATACACCTCCAGGCTGCCGTGCTAGGATCAACCAAAGCAACTGTGCACATACGCGCAGGCCTTACGTACATACAAGCATCATCTACAATCGTACATGTGTGTACATAAATATGCATCCACGTCTCAGTTTCATTAAAGCTCATAAAAGAACGATGCGCACACACGCATCTTGCCCGATGCGCAGTGCAGCGCAGTACAGTGCAGTGCAACAATACAGCATCACGGGTGCATTTCAGCCGCATAGGAACAGCTCTCAGACAGCTCTCCACCTTCCCCCTCAACTCTCCCACCTTTCCCCCCCATCCGCCTTCCCTTCCGCATACAACACTGCACCCACCTTCCGTCCCCAACCCAACCCAACCACCTCCACCAAGCGCGAAACAGGAGGACTACGTCGTGTGTGAAGTCATACCGTTATGAACGAACAGACACACCACCTCACGCTGTTAGCATCTAGCCTCGGGGCTTCTTCCCCCCGCTGTTGAACTGCAGCTTTATGAGGGAGGCGTTCAGCTGCTCGGGCCCGGAGCTGTCGCCGCCGCCATCGCCATCCGGGCCAGGTGTCCGGGCGCTGAGTGGCAGCAGGTTTCGCGACTGTCCATGAGAAGGGCCGCGAACCGGACCGCTGACTGAGCTGGTAATGGTGGTGGTGGTGGTGGTGGTGGGGCCTCCCTCGTGGTTCATGGTTGCGCCTGTATGTATTTGAGGCGGGGCGTGGAAAATGGAATCAATGAATCATACGCAAGCGGAGGAACGAAGGATCACCTGCCGACCTTGTGTGTCGTAGGGAGGGGCCGGAAGGGGAGGAGAAAGGGGTTATGCATGGAGTGGGAAAGGGGAGCAGTGCACTTCCCCCTGTTTGCCCCTCCCTCTCTCTTCTCCCTACACCCCCTCCCTCACATTCCCTGCGTCTCTCTCCTGTCTTCACTTCCCCCTTCCTGTCGCTCAGGCCCCGCCCCCAACCGCCACTCACTCACCTCGCGGCAACAGCAGCTTGCCCACTCGCCGCACCTCCCCGGTCTGTGCCCCCCCCCCCTCCCCTCCGCCTCCCGGTCCCCCGGGCACCAGGTCACCCGAGGAGCTGCTCCGACTGAGAGCGGCGCCCATGCTCTTGTGGCTGATGTTGCGCAGGCTGCGGCCACGGCGGGCTGCAGCAAGAAAAGGAGGGGAGGGGAATAAGGACCAGGGAGAAGTTTGGTTTGGAAGTGCCACAGAAGATTGCGGGTTAGGCGGGTGCGGTAGGAGCACGGAAGGAAGTGCCACAGACTCGAAAAAAGGCCCTGACACAAATGTGAGTTGAAGAGGTACCTAATAGGTGTCTAAGTGGAGGACAACAAAAACCCTGGATGGATGCCGCGGGGGACGGAAAAAGGGGAGCGGGAGGCATGTGAGCGAGGATAGAAAGGGCGGAGGCATAACTCGGTGTACGAATGTATGAGGACCACACCGGCGCTGGTACGAGAAAGGCCTTTCAAGATACGACACGACACGAAACGGACGACCCTTGGCCATAACCCTTCCCCCACTCACCCTCTACCCCTCTCACTTTCTACCCCTCTCAACCTCTTACCACTCCACCCTCGGACCCCCACACACACCCCACAACCACACGGGGACTTACCCAGCGGCGAGATGTCCCTGGACGAACCTCCCCCAGAGGCCTCGGCCCCCTCGTCGCCGCTCTGATGGTCACCCCCTTCCTCTCCTCCACCGCCACCGCCACCGCCCTCCCCACCGCCTCCATGTCCAGTACTCCTCTCCCCGTCCGCGGTCCCGTCGGCCGTTCCCGACCCGCCGTGTCCTGGCCTTGCGCCCCGACGTGATGTATTGATGGGCGGGTCGAAGGGCAGAACTGCGTCCACCGCCTGTTGTGGCGGTGGAGTGGGGCCCCAGCAGGGTTATTAGCAGCAGTGGCGTCAACATTTAGAAACAGCGGAAGCAATGGCTACAGCGGCCTTGCTCGCAATGGCAGTAGCCGCCGACGCATAAGGGCCTTTCCCTTCCTCAGTGTTTCCAAACTCCCCTTTTCGTCCGTACGGTACCTCCCAAGGGCCCCGCTCGTCCCCCTCCAATCTTGCCAAGTCGTCCCTTCCCCCCCTTAACTCCCTCTCCTCCCCCCTGCACCTCAATTCCCCCCCTCCCCTCCTCACCTCCCTCAATCCGCAGTAGGTGGTCATGAGGCGGCGGTAGGTCGTCCAGGCGGGAAGAGCAGCTTCACGGCCCCCAATGAGCTCGTCCACTCGCCGAGCTAGGTCAATGTACGACAGCACATCGCATTTAATCTATTCGCCATGAGGGCCAGCAGATGGACGGGCAGGCGGACGGGCGGTTGCGGCGGCTTAGTGGAGATGGGGTTGGGGTTGATAAGGGGGATCGGCCTCGAGGTCATAAAAGCAACAGCGAAGGAGGAGAAAGGGGAGGATAAAAAATCGGCGGCAGAGAGGCGGGGTGGGATGCTACGAGTCATACATGAACATTTCAGTTTTGAAAGGCTTGGGGGTTTTTTAAGGGCTTGGGGGTGAAGGCAGCATAGTGGCGAGGCGAGGCGTGGCGGCTGCGTAAACCTATCGCGCATGGTGGCAGTGCGGTGTTGGCAGTGCAGAGTATTACAGCATGAGGAGCGGGCCGGGCAGCCGGCAGGAAAGTCTTTCGGAGTGCAGACGTTCCTGCCGTACCGTACGGCAATGTCCCTGCGCCGTACCTCGGAGTGCGACTTGATCACGGCCACTTGCTGCTCCACCGCCACACGCATCAGCCGCCAACTCTCCTCCAGAAGCTCAAACTCGTCGTACGGCGGCAGGGCGCGCATGGGCTCGTGGCGAGTCACGTGGGTCGAGATACCCACAAACCCTGCAGTAGGGGGAGGAG